TCTGGGTGAGTGATAGAGTTCTATATAAGAAGAAAAACAGGAGAATGCAATGAATTCGTGACAGAGGCAACGTTGGTCCCTCATGACTGTGCTGTACCTCGTTGTTCGTACCTCATGTTATACTATGGTGTGGTTGGCAACTTGTGCTGACTCCAAAATGTTCTAGATACGTTATATTGGAATACCATATACTATGTATGTCGAGGCCAACAATTGGCACTGTACTAATAACTCATCTCTGATAATCAGCGTTGATATTTTCCGTATGTCTCGTACACACCGTGTTCGATTCTTCTGACCAGCAGCACACAGCAAGTATGCCATGGGTCTCGCTGACAGAGACAGTGAGTATTCCGCAATCATTTCATTCCCATCCAATGAATACACTCATTTTTAGGAGTGAGTGAGATTTAGACCGTCGAACTTGGCTCAAATATAATGCACAATGACTCAATAGGTGTGAGTTGGAGTGTTTGATTCCTAGGGCGATCACTAATTGGGTGTTTCAGGCGAAATTATGTACTTCACAATAAATGGGACAAGTCTGGTCCTAGGTGCCATGTTGGGTGGTGAGTTATCCAGCTGCAATACCTCGGTGATATTGACTCGACTGCAACATGATGCAAGTCATCATGATTGCTCGGTTATATGCCATGTATCAGAGATCTAGAACAATGCTCATCTTCCTCGTTGTTATCTTCCTGGCTGTCAACATCGCCTGCGGAGTGATCCCGGCAATAGGACTCAGGTATACTACGGGGGGTAAAGCTTTACCTGTTGACTTAGAAGAACACGGCTCATTAGACAAACACCAGAGGACCTGATACTTTCTGGCACATATATGTGCGATTTTGAATCTGTGGAGGACGTCCAGCTCCTGACCTCAATGATTTGGATGCTCAACATTGTTTGGGAGGTCCTCGCACTGTGTCTTTCAGTCTGGATTGCTGTAAAACAGTTCCGTGACCTGCGACGACTCAACCCGTCAACAAGATCAACCATCGGAGGCTGTTTCACAGTGCTGATAAAATCTCACGTGCTTTATTTTGCAAGGTGAGCTTTTAATGTGAATGTGGCTATATTTCTCTGCTCAAGTTTCGCATGTGCTAGCTTTGTTTGTGTCTCTTGCCTCCAGCTTGGCACTATTTCTCCGGAGCTCAGGGTGCGCCGACCTATCGCTAACAGCTGCTTCTAACCACTGCTCATCACTTTCGTAGAGTTCAAATTCAATGGAATCCCAGATACTCAATGGTGCTTGTCAAATTCTCTCGATCGTGCAGATGTTTGTGCTGGGACCACGCCTCATCCTTAGCGTTCGAGAATATCACGCAAAACTCGTGGCCGAATCTGATGCAGAAACTAGCATGACTTCTATTGTCTTCCAGGAGCGTATAAATGTACCGACTAGCAGTACTGTGTAGGGAAATGGTTTTCGAGCATTTTGCATGGAGGAGGATCCGTCGTGGTATTTATTCAAGTCATTGCGTTTCGAAGTATATTTAAGACGAGATTTATGTAGACAAACCTGTTTCTTATTATATCCCTACTGGAAGTCAGTGAACCGCGTGTCCACACTTGCACAGAGTGGCAAATTGGATTATCTGCAACGTCTAACCAACCGAGTCCTTGATGCCGGATACTGAATTACAACGAGAATCGCTGGTAGAAATCTCCCAGACAGCTGATTCTACACGTTTGTGGAGTTCTGCTGTTTGAGCACACGGATGATGCAGAAGTGACTGAAGCATGAAGCCCAGATCGCTGATAACTCATTGCTCAGACGCGTTTTCGCCCATCGGGGCCGCAGAGAATAAAAGGGAATAATCGCGCGGACTCATGGCTGGATCGTAACTAGAAATGAGCATAGCAAGGAGATGAGGTGTACTGAGCGGGGAGTGGCGAATTCGAGAATGGGAGCTTCAATTCAGTTTCTTTTCTGCTATAGATATATTCAGTGCAAAGATAGACGCAAGACAAATATTGTACATGTATGATTGATCAACAAGTGTTGGGCACGCTCTAGGAATTGAGGGAATCATGTCCGCTGTAGACACAACGTGAACTTTCATCGATTTCCTTTTCGGTCAGAACGTTCAACCAAGTGAAAATTTTGGCTAGTGCTTACTTCCGTAAACTGCGGATCATGTACTCGTGAACCAGGATGCATCTGGCAGCGCGATACACCGCTATAGCCCAATCATTGGGGCGTACAAGGCAACGGATAGTAAGGTTAGTCATACATACTCCGCTTCTTGTCTGACTTCCCTGGTACAATGTCACAGGATGGGACCTTGCTAAGAGTCACCGGTGGAGCCGTTACGCCTGAGGCTCGGCTAGTAAGGCAAAGAGAGTGCAAACGTTTATTGATCACGCTTAGATCTATGTCATCGATGACTGCTATGGAATTCCTCAATCGAGCAAGTGCTGCAAGAACATCTCGACGGTGACGTTGTAAACAAGTCGCCGACATCACGAAACAGTGTTCAAACATTCCGTGACGGTGTGCTTGATAAGTACTAGTTCGTAAATTCAAATATACTTTAATTCAATTGAGGGCTTCCACTTTTGCTTGACTTTGCACCGCGATACTTACTACAATCAAGGGTCTTGAGGCGGGATCAAATATCCATCTCCATCATACCGATTTTGGCGATAGCGGCAGTATATCTAGCATGAACGCCAGATCGTTGTACACCCAACATCCCTCGCTCGCACCCATCCCTCAAATATGACTGTAGTTGTAAATGATCCTAGTTTGTGGCCGATAATCGATTGGAATATTATCTTCAGCTATTGGACAGGTTCGTCGTATCAGTTAGTGATGTCTCAATCTAACATTGACTTGCAGTTTCACAGTTGCGGCCGGCGTCGTGGTGGTATATGATTGGGGTGAGAAATTAAAAACAGTGTTCGAAAACCATTGATATTCTTATAATACCTCCAGTACTAACACTCGGACAAGAGGTAGGCCAGTATCATAGCCGGAGCAGCCAACTCGCTAAGAATGGTGTTATAGATTGAACTGATCTGGGTGAGTGACAAGAGTCCCGTATCAAAAGACAAACAGGAGGATTCAATGAATTCGCGATAGAGGCAACGCTGGTCCCTCGTGACTGTGCTGTATTTGGTTGTTCGTACCTCATGTTATATTATAGCGTGGTCGGCAGTTGTTCTGACTCCAAAATCTTCTAGATACGATATATTGGAATACCATATTCTGTGTATGTGATCGAGGCCAATAAATTGGCACTATGTTAACAGCTCATTTATGGTGAAAATTAGTGCCAATGTTCTACGTATGTCACATATGGCGTCACTGCGTTCGATTCTTCTGATTGGCGGCACACAGCAAATATCCCATTGGTCGCACTGTCCGATGCAGTGAGTACTTTGCAAATATCTCATTCCCATCCAATAAATACACTCATTTGTAGGGGTGAGTGAGATTCTGACCACTGAACTTGGCTTAACATACTGACTCAATGATTCAATAGGTGTGAGTCGGAGTGTTTGATTCTAGTACGTGGGTGATCATTGACTGGGTGTTTCAGGCAACATTACGTACTACGCAAGGAATGGGACAAATGTGGTCTTAACTGCCATGCTGGGCGGTGAGTTATTCAGCTGCAATCCCTCAGTGATACTGACTCGACTGCAATATGGTGCAAGTCATCATGATTACTCGGTTATATGCCATGTATCAGAGATCTCGAATCATGCTTATCTTCCTTGTCATAATCTTCCTGGCTGTTTCCATCACCTGCGGAGTAATCACGGCAATAGGACTCGAGCATACTGTAGCAGGTAAGCTTTACTTGTTGGCTTGAAGAACACAGCTCATTGGACAACCACCAGCGGAGCTGATACTCTCTGGCACGTATATGTGCACTTTTGAATATGAGGGAGATGTCCAGCTTCTGGCCTCGATGATTTGGACACTCAACACTGTCTGGGAGGTCCTCGCACTGTGTCTTTCAACCTGGATTGCCGTGAAGCACTTCCGTGATCTGCGACGACTCGGTTCATCGATAAGATCGACCATAGACGACTGTTTCAGAGTGCTGATACAATCTCACATACTTTATTTTGCAAGGTGAGTTTGTGATGTGAATGTGGTTATCTTTTTCTGCTCAAGTTCTGCGCGTGCTAGCTTTGTTGGTGTCTCTTGCTTCCAGCTTGGTAGTCTATCTCCACAGCTCGCGGTGAGCCGACCTATCGCTGACGTCTGCTTGAAACCATTGCTCATCGGTTCTGTAGAGTTCATATTCTTTGGGAGTTCAGATATTCGTTGGTGCTCTTCAAATTTTATTGAGCGTGCAGATGTTTGTGCTGGGACCACGTCTCATCCTTAGCGTTCGAGAATTTAACGCAAAGCTCGTGGTCGATTCCGATGCAGAAACTAACATGACTTCTATTGTCTTCCAGGAGCGTGTAGATGTACCAACTAGCAGTACTGTATAGGGAAATGCCTGTGAAGTGTTCTGCAGGGAGAAGAAATTTGGTCGAGGATCCATTGTGGTATTTATTTAAGTTATGGTGTTTCGAAGTATATCTATGATGAAGTTTATGTAGACAAACCCATCTTTCATGTTGCATCACTACTGGAACTCAGTGAACCGTCCGCCCACACTTGCACAAGTGACAAGCTGAAATTATGCGGAACGTCTAGCAACTATCCCAATTCTTGATGCCCCATACTAAAATACAACGAGAATCGGTATAAATTGCATAGCCAGCTAATTCTACACGTATGCAGAGTTTTGCTGTCTGAGCACACAGATGGTGAAGCAGTGACTGTGAAGCATGAAGCCCAGATCACTGATAACTCATCGGTGCTCAGATGCGTTTTAATCGGGGCCACGGAGAATAAGACGGAATGAATCGCGCGGACTCATGGCTCGGCTGTATACCTCTACCGCGAATGAGCATAGCAATGAGATGAGCTGTGCTGAGCGGGGAGTAGAGAATTAGAGAATCGGAGTCGAAAGCATCAAGCGCACCTGTCAAACTATTAATGAGGTATCAATCACGATATTCTGTAATTGTATGCATGCATACATTGATTGGGGTTCGCGCCATTGTAGTTTTCCGCTCATGCGACTGCAAAATGTGCGTCGGATCTGCGTTCTTGCAATCATCTGCTAGAGCTTGTCCTGCTATGTGCGAATATCAGAGCGAAGTACCGATCGAGATACATACCTATGTCCACCATCTGGACCAAACGAAGAGAAAGACAGGGGAATGGAAAGTAACGTGTCTGAGCTCAGATAGCTGATAGTATAGGGGTTCCACAGCACAATGGCTCTCGCCTTCTCCTGAAGTAGCGTCTGTTTGAACACAAAGGAGAAATAGGTGACGTGAGCAGGCAAGAATACTGTAATTAATAATAGGTCATCACGAGTACGATGCAGCAACCCCTGACCAGGCCTGAAGAGCGGTAATTCTGAATTTGGTGGTCAGAGAGGGCAATCGTGGTTCTGGATGCAGCAGTAAATATGAAGGTGGTGCACGGGGAAGATGGGGATGTATTCGAGGATATTTTGCAGGAACGTTAGAGCATACCATGATATCTCACGTGGGCCGTCGCAACGACCAACAAGGAAGACCACTTATGTATGACTGGTGATATAGATATGCGGAACGAATCGACGCAGGATGATCATGATTCGCAGGATAAGGACTATGATTAATGATTCCAGGCATCGATGGAGACGAGAGGTGTTTCGATGACAAGGAAGTTGTCTTTTATGGAGGAAGGCTTGGATACGAAGCTCGGGTGTTTGATTATGGCTGTACATATGGCGAACAAAGTCCAGCTTGGATACAGGGATGATCAGATAGGCTAGATACGGCTTCGATTAGCAATTTGGATGTTTTTTCAAATGTCAAAGATGATACCGATATCGAAGAATGCATTGGTTGATCACCGGATTACACGCACTTTATGGTACAAATTCCGAAATAAGCGTTCGATATCACAAATTTGAAGGGAGGGCAGGCAGACGTACTTTTCGAGAGGATTTGTCAAATGTACCGGGAATTCGATCCCCGATTTTGCTACCGTTTTTGCGGCTGACTTCTATTTGATTTATTTGAAATTAATCTAGATCGAGTGGATTCTCAGCGACGCGATACAACACAGTTTGGCTTTGAACTTACATGGTTGGTTTAAGGCGTGCCTCAGAAGCCATTGGAGTCTCTGAATGGACTCGTCTCTGATGGCCCTTCTCCAAGTTGTCTACTACCTTCGGTGGCGTTCGTGAGTCGAGGCATTCCTGTTAAATGACCGAGGGTAATGGATAAGAGCAGAACCGGTCAGATGCGTGCCAACCCTATATCACATCTAGGCGGCAGAGAAGTGGTGAAGAATCGTACGTGAAGCTTTGAAGAATGGAAGTGGGCACGATATCGCTGATTGACATCTGTTCAAGCATGAAGGTTTGAAACGGGACCGACGGGGTGAGTATGTCCCTCTGTCTCAATGAATGCGCATGGCAAGGAGGTGAAAAGTATTGAGTGGGGAGCAGAGAAGAGAGCCGGGGCTTCAAGCTTCAAGTCAGAAGGCATCGAGCACACCTTGAAAAGTATCAGTAAGGCGCTGACCACGATGTTTTGTCATACGTAATTTGATCAGATCGCAATGGCTCTATCATGTGCCTGAGTAACGCAAAAGAAGAGGCGACAGGGAGTGGTGAAATCCTGGATGGCCAATAACGCGTCAGATCAGCGAGAACGCCTGTCTACCATCATCGGCACAATCCACCTGGGCCGCAGAGGAGTCCCGAATCGTACGTGAAGAGTAAAAGCAGCGTGTCGATGTCCTAGAGACTACTAACCAACTGATTGAGCGAGCGTCGTCGACAGTCCGAGTCATATCGTTGATAACATCGTCTGTTCAAGCATGATTCAACGATATGGAATATGTCGAATTTTAAAAACTTAAGGCTCGAGTATTGAACTCTATCACAGATGTACACGAAGGAGATGTAATGCGCTGAACGGGGAGTAGAGCACACCTGACAAAGTATCAGTAGAGCACTAGCTGTCTGAGCACAAAGCCTGAGGAGAAGCGACAGTGATTGTAAATGCACAGATGGCCGATATATAGCACATCTGTCCTGCTCTGATGCTGTCCTCTTGTGCAAGGGCCGGGCATGTGGAACGCGATACGAAAGTTCCGTAGACCAGGAAAGTAAAAGCATCGTGTCTGAGCTCAGATAGCTGATGGTCCGAGAATTACACCTTCTCTGAGCATCATCTATCTGAGCACAAAGAACGAATAAAGGGAAGCAACAGTGATTGCATTGTGTTTGTATCATAGAGAAAGTAGTACGTCTGTCAGCATGAGGCATCGAACGAGATTACGACATGAATACAACTATTGACACCATCGTCATTGATAACTGGTACAGATAGGCCGATCGTTCTTGGGTGGGGTCGGGATAAAGTCTAGGTCTGGAAATAGATCAATAATTAAGCGAGTCTGTTGATAAGGGAAGGAGAGGAATGTTCAGGACTGGAGAACTGTGAACGATAAGCACAAGGAGTGGCGCTACAAACACATATTTGCACTTATCCTTGCGCGCAGGGAGCTTTAAGTAATAATCAATACATCGACTTCCCCAGAAAATGCAAAGGATAGACGTATATACGTGGCTCCAAGTCCGATGGCGATGGGAGGGACCCCATGTATGTGGTAAAGTGAAAGAAGGATTGAAGACTGAGAGTATGTGAGTACATACGATATGTGAAAGTGTAACGGGTGCCATATACACTTGAGGATGGTGGACGCATGAGCGCTGCCGCATCGACGTTCAGCCTAGCACTTAAGAGTAGTGGAACAGGGTACACAACTTACAGCTGGCCAAAACTGGACACTCTAAATAAGCCGTCTCCAACACCATCGCCATTTTTTGGGGGGTATAGACTCCCATATTGGAACGCGCAAATCAGCGTGGGTGCATGTGGACGGACGTTGATCACTATCAGGCTATGAGAAGCGTCTAAGAATGTGGAATAGAATGATGCCAGGGTGCTGGCAAAGGCGCATATATGTAATAATTACAATATGTGGACTTGAATCTGATGCCGGGTCCGTGCGAGAATTAGCTAGATGATTGATATCGTGAGCTCGAGGCTGGCGACCAGAGAACATCAGAGAGCATTAACTAGACAGGGAAGGCAATCGTGTTTATGTAAAAATAAATCCAAGGGGGTGAATTGCAAGGAAGATGTGAATTCGCAATGTTATGTAGATATCCGTGACTCGAGGGGCCAGTTGGATGACCGAAAGAGGTTTTGCAATTGGAGCGAGTGAAAGGGTTGGAGTATCTTCATGGCGTACAAAGAAAGTCCAACACTCGCAGTACACAAAGTGGGTAGTAGAATACCCTGAAGCGCGAGGAAGACTGCATCTAGAGGATCTGTCAAATGTATCAGGATCCAGTAACACTCTAGTCATATCCTAGGCAGACCAAATACTAGATGTAAGATAGTGGTTCCTTCTAGTTTCAATGGCATAGTTACTAGTGCCTGGAATCTGTAGAGCTTCACGCACACGTCTAGTTCAGATTCCCATCCTCTATGATCGACGCGAGTGAGGCAACAACTTGAGAGAACAGGTGTGAGTTCCGGAACGACCTTTCATAGTAGCCTATTACTTACAGAGTACAGCACTAGCTTTTAATGGTATTAATGGTTGGTTTTTTGGCTCTTAGGGAATACCGAAGGTAGCGCCGTGGTAGTGAAAGGTTGTTAGATGAATCTAAAGAATTAGACCCGCCATCAGGCCCAGCTGTCACATCAGGTACGTGGGAACATCATGTCCAGGCTTTGGACCATGTGCTTGTGCTGTATGGTTACCATCATTTTGATACCATAGCTCAGCGCTCAATGATTGAAGTGTGCGAGGGTGGGTCATATTTGCTCCGCCCCCCACTCTGTGCCTCTTGGCTGACTTCTCTAGTGTCATGGAACTTTCAAGTTGTCAGTGGAGCCATTACGCGTCAGGCTCGGCCAACAAGGCAGAGACAGTGCAAATGCTTGTTGATAATGCGCAGACCTGTATTAGATCAAAGACTACACGATTTCATACCGAACGCCTCAATTGATGCAATCGTAGCAAGACCACCTCGAACTTGGCGTTATAAACAAGTTGCCAACATCACGGGACACTGTTCGAACTTTCCTGATGTTCAAACATTCCGAGTGCATGATAAGTACTAGTTCGCAGATCAGAATTGACTTTGATCCAATCAGGGCTTCCACTTTTTACTTCATTTAGCACTGCAATACTTCAACCGAAAGCCTTGAGGCAGGAACAAAACATTCATCTTAATCATACCAAATTTGGCGATACCGTAACGCGCTGAGCGCTGAATGGTGGTATATCTAGCACGAACGCTATTGTTATACATCTCCAACATCCTCCACTCGCTCACACCCATTCCCCAAAAATGACTCTAGTCTCAAATGATCCCAGTTGGTGGCCCATAATCAATGAGAATCTGTTTTACAACTATTGGACAGGTTCGTCGTATCAGTTGATGTTGACTAGTCCCGATCTAACATTGACTTGGGGCTTCACAGTTGCCGCCGGTGTCGTGGTTGTATATGATTGGGGTGAGAAAGACAGTGTTCGAAAACTGCTGACATTCTTATGGTATTTCTAGTGCTGATGCTCGGAAATGAGGTAGGTCGACGTTATCGCCGGAGCAGCCAACTCGCTAAGAACGGTGTCATAGGTTGAACTGATCTGGGTAAGTGACAGGATCCTATATCAGAAGAAAAACTGGAGAATACAATGATTTGCGACAGAGGCAACGGTGGTCTCTCATCACTGTGCTGTATCTTGCTGTTCGTACCTCATGTTATACTATAGTGTGGTTGGCAAGTTGTGCTGACTCCAAAATGTTCTAGATACGCTATATTGGAATACCATTTTCTGTGTTTGTTTTTGAAGCCTACAAGTTGGTGCTGTACTAATAACCCATCTCTCATTATCAGTGTCAACGTTCTGTGTACGTCTCATATGTGCTGTGTTCGATTCTCCTGACCGGCGGCGCACAGCAAATATGGCATTGGCCTCGCTGACAGATGCAGTGAGTATTCCGCAACCATCTCATTCCAATCCAATGAATGCACTCATTTGTAGGGGTGAGTGTGATTCCGACCGCTGAACTTGGCTCAATGTAATATCTCAATAGGTGTAAGTCAGAGTGTTTGATCCTGGTACGAAGGTGATCACTAATTGGGTGTTTCAGGCAATATCACGGCCTACGCAACGAATGGGACAAGCGTGATCGTAAATGCCATGTTGGGCGGTGAGTTGCCCAGCTGCAATACCTCGGTGATATTGACTTGACTGAAATGTGATGCAAGTTATCATGATTGCTCGGTTACATGCCATGTATCAGAGATCTAGAATGATGTTTATCTTTCTTGTTATTGTCTTCCTGGCTGTTAACATTACCTGCGGAGTAATGACGGCAATAACACTCAAGCATACTGTATCGGGTAAGCTTTACTTGTTGATTTGAAGAACACAACTCATCGGACGAACACCAGAGGAGGTAATACTCTCTGGCACGTATATGTGTAATTATGGATATCAGGGGGATACCCAGTTTCTCGCCTTAGTTGTTTGGATGCTCAAAACTATTTGGGAGGTCCTCACACTATGTCTTTCGGTCTGGATTGCTGTGAGACAGTTCCGCGACCTGCGACGACTCAGCCAATCGAGAAGATCGACCATCGGTGACTGTTTCAGAGTGCTGATACAATCTCACGTGCTTTATTTTGCGAGGTGAGCCTGTAATGTGAATGTGCTTATATTTTTTTGCTCAAGTTTCGCACGTGCTAGCTTTGTTTGCGTCTCTTGCATCGAGCTTACGATTAATATTCTCTCTTCAGAGCTCATGGTGCGCCGACCTGTTGCTAACATCTGCTGGCAACCGCTCATCATTTCTGTAGAATCCACTGTCTGTGCCAGTGGGAGTTCAGATAATCATTGGTGCTTATCAAATTTTATTGGTCGTGCAGATGTTTGTGCTGGGACCACGCCTCATCCTTGGCGTTCGAGAATATCACGCAAAACTTGTGTCCAACTCCGACGCAGAGACTAGCATGACTTCGATTGCCTTCCAGGAGCATGTACACATACAAACCAGCAGTACTGTATAGGGAAACGCTTGCCGAATGTTCTGCAAGGAGGATAAATTTGGTCGGGGATCGGTCATGGTATTTATTTAAGTTATAGTATATCTAAGACGGAGTTTATGTAGACAAACCTACTTTTCGCATTACATCGCTCCTGGAATTCAGTGAGCCGCCCGCCCCCTGTGACACTTGCGCAAGTGGCAAGCTGAAATTATCCGGAACGTCTAACAACCAACCCAGTTCTTGATACCCCATACTAAAATGTAAGGAGAATCAGTATAAATTGCCTAGACAGCTAGTTCTACACGTGTGCACAGTTTCGCTATCTGAGCACACAGATGACGAAGTGACTGTGAAGCATGAAGCCCAGATGGCTGATATCTCATTAGCCTGGGGTGCGTTTTAATCCATCAGGGCAACGGAGAATAAAGAGGAATGAATTGCGCGGACTCATGGCTCGACTGCATACCTCTACCGCGAATGAGCATGGCAAGGAGATGAGATGTGCTGAGCGGAGAGTAGAGAATTCGAGAATGGGGACTTCAATTCAGGAGGCTCGAGTGCGCCTGTCAGACGATTAACGAGGCATCGACCACGATATTCCGAAATTGCGCGCATACACGCGTCAATCGGGGGCCGCGCCATCGTAGCTTTCTGCTAAAGCGACTGCAAATTGTGCGTCGGATACGTCCTTGCAACTATCTGCTAAAGCCCATCCTGCTACGCACGTATGTCAGAGTAAGGTATCGATCGAGATACATACATACATCCACCATGGACCGAACGAATCGGGAGCGGGGGGACTGGAAAGTAGAAGTAGTGTGTCTGAGCTCAGACAGCTAATAACCCGAGGATCGTACGCATCAATGAAAACCTCAAGTAATCATCTGTCTGAGCACAAAGTAAAAAGAATGAAAAAGAAGATGCAAGAACAGTCAATGATCGTAGAATCGTGCATCGGGTATGCATGGTCTGTTGAAGTCTTACCAGTAGCACGTCCGTTAGTAGAAATTATCGAGTAAGATTACGACATACGTACACCCATAAACTTCAGAGTGGCCTTGGAATAGCGTGTCTGAGCTCAGACAGTCGATAGTAGATATATTGAAAGAATGAACGAAAGCTCCTTATCATCTATCTGAGCACAAAGAATAATCACGATTCGTAAAAGCCCAGATAACCGATGATGCCATGACATTGAAGAAGCTATCATAGCATGGGCGTTATCAGTCATTTGGACGAACAAACGGGGGGCGAATGGGCTAGGCAGTAGGAGGAAGAGGAAAAGTAGCATGTCTGTGAACATGGGGAAATGGTGATTCGATAAAAGTCCAAAAAGTCGATAATACGATTGTCCTACTGACCAGAATCACAATATGATCATCCATCTGGACGAACGAACATAGAGTGAGGGGAATAATAAAAGTAGAAGCAGAATGGCGTCGAGTGAGTGGAAGCGCAGGTGGCTGATAACACCATGGCTCTGGTTCGCAGGACACAAGCAAGGTGACATCTGCGATCTGGACTTGACTTGGATGAATGGGGTAGGAGGGGGAAAGGAAGTTTGTGAAAACGAATAAGTGTGAGGGGAATAACGGATGAAGCTCAGATCTAGAGGGGAGTAACATGATATTTCCAGCTACTGTGATAAGTGGAAGGCTAAATGGCTGATAAGGCAATCTCAAATCCCTAAAGAGCTACCTGGGCTTTCCGTATGAATGGAATGCAAGTTGAAAATCTAGGATATCCTAGACGAAAGTTCACAGGGTAAAGGAACGTGCGTGCGCATGACCATCGTGGCATCGTCCCAAGTAAGCTCGTTTTGCGCAGCGGGCGAAAGCGGGCGTCGACAGTTGAAAAAGGGACTGAAGGAGTGGTCAGTTACATAGTGAGTGCATGCATTAATATCGCAATTGTCAAAAGCTTGTTCGCAAACGCAAGATTGAGATTTTAGTTGCAAAACAGCACTCGGAGATTACCAGTCCCGACTCCCGACGAGGGAAGTTCGACTATCTTCCTTCCAAGTCAATAGCCCCACTCAATTCTTATTTTATTCTGCCATTTTATTTCTCCAATTTACGAGCCATCACCAAACTGTCACTTGTACAGAGTCCGAGAAATAAACTGGAATAAACTGCACTCAAGTATCCAAAAATAACACCACGTCAGAGGTTCAACTTACCAACACCGCGGGCATATCTGGCACTGGACGTCATTGTCATGTACTGCGGATGCATCTGGGATGTGTTGTGCGCTGCCAGATTTCCAAACTGCAGTTGTGGCATACCATACTCAAATGGCAGAGATGGCGCAGGCTGCATGGTATCACGCAGGCAAGATTTTTGAGGTGTTTGACTAGCTTGCCGTTCTTCCGCATCATTAGGAGTGACGCAGTGGTTGTAGGTGTCGTGGTCAGGAAAGATCCAGTTTGGTGTGTCCATTGTGCACACTCATTCACGCTGCCAGTGAGATCAACTGACTTACACAAAATGTTTTGGTACTTCAAGCCGCTCGGCATATTACAAGCTCAGCGATGCCTGTGTCAAATAAACTGGAAGAATAAACTGAGGCACTCAATTCTACATTATTTTATTTCCCATGCGATCAAGATTTATATTACAAGCCACAAAATAAAATGGCAGAATAAAATAAGAATTGAGTGGGGCTAATATTACTAGGTCTGACCATGTATGCAAGACTAGTACCTCTACGACCTATCTCTATTTTCTGGCAATCTACCGGCCAGGCTACTGCCAAGCAAGGCAATGTTACTGGTGTGCTGCCTTCACAAATTCCATGTCCTCGGTTTCCACATTGAATCAGCAATCTTTTTTGATTCTCCAACATGCATTATAGATGGGGAATACTACCAACAGCGCATAGCACTATGATGAGATGTTTCTCCTCGAACTTTGGCCATACGTACAGTGGAACCATCAAACTATGTCACGATTTTCGTACCCTGCCTATGAAATTGCTGGGCATGATGAAAATCCGACAACAAGTTTGTTGTCCATTTGACTGATCTCACTCTCAATCACTCACAATATTTACTGGTTCAAGTAGATCACTCAAATACAATCGCCTTATATCAGCCTGTACGATCAGATATTGAGCTTCCTGCATGTTGATGCGGCCGTACAGGATTCTTTTATCCTATGTGCGAAGTTCTCTTTCGACCTGCGGATATTGTATATCCAATATTTATCAATCACGGATCGTGGAACAGGATGTATCTGGCAGTGCAATACATCACCATCGCATCAAGTGCATGATGCATTAGATATAGTGCACTTTGCATTGGATTCACTCAATGCTTTGTTCATTGTTTTGGTACCATAGCCCAATGATGGAGGCGTACAAGGTCACAGGTAGTAAGTAATCATATTTGTTCTGCCTCTGCTCAAGTACTCTGTTTCTTGTCTGACCGCTCTGGTGCCATGTTACAGAATGGGACCTTGTTAAGAGTCATCAGTGGAGCTGTTACGGCTCAGGCTCAGCCAGCATAACAGAGAGAGTGCAAACCTTGTTTATGATGCTTACACCTGTATTAGATCGATGACTACATCATTTCATACGGAGCGCCTCAATTGATGCAAGTGCGGCAAGAACACCCCAAAAGTGGCGTTGTAAACAAGTCGCCGATATACACCGTTCAAACATTCGTGACTCCCAAAATTTTCGCGTGCATGATAAGGACTGGTTTGCAGATCAAGATCTACTTTGATTCCATTAACGATTTTTGCTTGATTTCAGATCGCAATCCGTACTTCAACCAATCAGCGGTATTGAGGCAGGAATAGATGTCCATCTCCATCATGCCGATTGTGAGGATCAAAGCGTTGAATGGAGATATATCTAGCATGAACGCTAATGTTATACACCCACCAACATTCCCCACTCACTCACACTCATCCCTTGAATATGACCGGAGTCTCAAATGATCCCATTTGGTGGCCGTACATCAGTTTGAATTTGTTTTACAGCTATTGGACGGGTTCGTCGTACCAGTTCGTAATGTCTCTCGATCTAACATTGACTTGCGGTTTCGCAGTTGCCGCAGGCGTGGTGGTGGTATATGATTGGGGTGAGCAGGACAGTGTTCGAAAACCACCGTTATTCTCATGATATTTCCAGTAATCACACTCGGACAAGAGGTAGGTCGATGATATCGCCGGAACAGCCAACTCACTAAGAATGGTATCATAGATTGAACTGATCTGGGTAAGTGGCAGAGTCTCATACCATCACAGGAAATAACAGAAGATTACAATGGTTTCGCGACAGAGGCAACGCTGGTCTCTCATGACCATGCTGTATCTCGTTGTTCGTACATATATTATGCTATGGCGTAGTTGGCAGTTGTGCTGACTCCAAAACTTTCTAGATACGCTATATTGGACTACCATATTCTGTGTAAGTTTCGAAGGCCAATGAATTGGCGCTGTACGAATGCTTATCTATCATGATCAGTATCATCATTCTGCGTATGTTTTATACGCGCTGTGTTCGATTCTTCTGACTGGTGGCATACAGCAAATATGCCATTGGTCTCACTGACAGATACAGTGAGTATTCCGCAACCATCTCATTCCCATCCAATGAATACGCTCATTTGTAGGGGTGAGTGAGATTCTGACCATTGAACTTGGCTCAATATAATGACTCGATGAATCGATAGGTGTGAGTCAGAGTGTTTGATCCAAGTACAAGGGCGATCACTAATTGGGTGTTTCAGGCATTATTGTGGACTACGCAACAAGTGGGACAACTGGGGTCGTAGCTGCCATGTTGGGCGGTGAGTCGCCCAGCTGCAATACCTCATTGATATTGACTCAACTGAAACATGATGCAAGTTATCATGATTGCACGGTTACATGCCATGTATCAGAGATCTAGAATGATGTTTATCTTTCTTGTCATTGTCTTCTTGGCTGTTAACATCACCTGCGGAGTAACAACGGCAATAGCACTCAAGCGCACCACAGCGGGTAAGCTCTACTCATTGACTTGAAGAACACAACTCATTGGATGAACACCAGAGGAGTTCATACTCTCTGGCACACATATGTGCACTTTTGAATATGAGGGGGATATCCAACTTCTGAGTTCAATGACTTGGATGCTCGACACTGTTTGGGAGATCCTCGCACTGTGTCTTTCAGTCTGGATTGCTGTAAAACACTTCCGTGACCTGCGACGACTCGGCCCATCGACAGGATTGACCATTGGGGACTGTTTCAGAGTGCTGACAAAATCTCACGTGCTTTACTTTACAAGGTGAGTTTGTAATGCGAATGCAGCTATCTTTTACTGCTCAAGTTCCGCACGTGCTAGCTTTGTTTGTGTTTCTTGCCTCCAGCTTAGTCTCATCTCTCCAGAGCTCGTGGTGCGTCGATCTGTCGCTAACACCTGCTTGTAGCCACTGCTCATCATTTCTGTAGAATGCATACTCTATAGGGGCTCAGGTACTCTATGGTACTTGTCAGATTCTAGGGGTCGTACAGATGTTTGTGCTAGGACCACACCTCATCCTTAGCGTTCGAGAATACCATGCTAAGCTCGTGGCCGAATCTGACGCAGAAACCAGCATGAATTCGATTGTCTTCCAGGAGCGTGTACATGTACCAACTGGCAGTACTGTGTAGGGACATGCTTTCTGAGTGTTTTGCATGGAAGAGATATCAGGTCGAGGATCCGTCAGAGCATTATTTAACACATGGTTTTTCAAAGTATCTTTAAGACGAGGTTTATGTAGAATTTCATTTCTTGTTGTATCACTACTGGGACTTAATAAACTCTCCAGCCACACTTCAAGTAACAAGCTGAGATTATCGGGAACGTCTATTAAGCAACTCAGTCCTCAATGCCCGATACTGAAACACAAGGAGAACTGGTATAAGTTGCTCGGATGGTTTATTCTGCGCGTTTTGGAAGTTCCGTTATCTCAGCACACAGATGATGAAAAAGTGACCGTGAAGCGTGAAGCCCAGATTATGGATAATTCATTGGTGCTCGGATGTGTTTTCATTCATCAGGGCCACAGGAATGGAAAAGGAATGAATCGTGCGGACCATGGCTTGACTGCATGCCTCTATCATGAATAAGCATAACAAGTTGGGCACTCGAGATGCGATTGGGACACTGGGCGTCCCCTAGACTAGACTGTAATGTCCCACATAGAGTACTTCTCTGCAAAGGACAGAAATTAGATTAAAAATAAAAATAAAAAGCATAACAAGGACAAGAGGTGCTGAGCAAGGAGTGGAGAAATAGAGAATGGGAGCTTCAATTCAGAAGGCCTCGAGTACACCTGTCAAACTATTAACGAGGCATCGACCACGATATTCTGAAACTTATTCGTACCTACATTATCGGAGTCGCGCCATCATAGCGTTGCGTGCATGTGGCTGCAAACTGTGCGTCGGGTTTGCGTCCTTGCAGCGATCTGTTGGAGCCCATCCTGCTATACACGAATGTCAGAGTCAAGTACCGAACGAATAGAAAGTAGACATAGCGTGTCTGAGCCCAGATAGCTGACAGTACAAGGGTTCCGCAGCATAGCGACTCTCGCCTTCTCATGAATTAGTATCTCTTTGAACACACAGGAGAGATAAGTGACGTGGGCAAGGGATAATCTTGCAATGATGTTTCTGCTTGAAGCGAGCTCGAACTAGGATTTAAGCTTGCTTATTTTGGCGGAACTTCATGCGACGTCAAGTCAATGTTTGTTTGGTGACTGGTCGAACGCTGATTGGACTACAGCGACTCAGAGTTGGATGTCACTGACCCCGAGGATATATCTAAAGATGGCTCAAAGAAAGCGGATTCTTTTGACGGCGAGGCTTTTGATGCTGCCAGTATCATCAATCTTGACTCCACGACGCTAGCTGATGTGCTTGCTGACAAAGATTTGGCACCCGCAGCACCGAAGAACACTGTCACTCTTCTGCTGGCAAGCACTTTGGTGCAAGAGAAGGCCTTGACCGAAGCAGACTGGGACATGACATAGAGTGTAGGATAGATCTAGACTTGTAAATCAAGCTAAATTTTGCAGCACCCGGAATCGCCGGGCCGGTTTTACCGGCGGTGGATATCCACCATACTCACCCGTGGATAACTGACCCTCATTTAGGCCTGGTGGATATCCACAGTGGATAACCCCTCAGAGGGTTATCCACGGAACACTAGGCTCCAGGCATGCCTGCCCGGACCGGGTCTGTTAGATTTATCGGTAGCAACACTTTTCAGTTCAGATTCTCGTCCTCCTTGATCAACGCGAGTGAGGCAAGAAAAAATGGCACAAGTGTGAGTTCCGGAACGGCCTTTCAAGTATAGTATACTACTTTCAAAAAGTACTGAGTGTAGCCGCCGCACCGTGACGCGGCTAAAAATGTCGTGTTAAGCTTGAAGATCTCCTGATCCGAGATAGTCTTTACCATTATAAACTACTGCGACAGTCCCAGCTCAACTTATCATAACTACATTGAGGCTCTTCCTGTCCTCGTGATGGTCTTGTAGCTTAAATTAAACCACCTAATATGAGACGCTTCAAGTTTAATCACAAATATTGAAACCAAGTACGTATGTTAAAATATCGTGTTTGGCGCCTTGTTGATACTTTCCCAGGTACGCTTGCTGTCTCCCGACTTGAAGCTTGAAGCCCCGGTTCTCTTCTCTACTCCCCGCTCAGGGCCAAGCGTATCATTTGGACCGAGGTATATACTCCCCCCGTAAGTCTCTTTTCAAACCGGCATGCTTGATATCGTTCAATCTTGCTTGAACAGACGTCACTCAGCAATATCGTGCCTACTTTCGCCCTTCACGTACGATTCGTCGCTACTTCTCTGCTGCCAAGATGAATATGAGGTGGGCATGCGTCTGGCCAGTTCTGCTCTTATCTACGACCGTCTGAAAGTCTAGACAAATTGTTTTCAAGTATTTCGCGGGCTTATAGAATTTCTGGTCTATCACTGACTATTAGCTGTCTAGGCTTAGACACACTACTACCGACATACTTAGGCCAGCAGATAATCACGTGGAGCGGTGCATTGTCTTTCGGGTGATCATCGATCATGTGCTGGTCCTAGCAAGCACTCAAATCTGACACATAATTTGCAGTCACATGCACACAACGCTATGATGACGCGATTCCGATCGCATATGTATGAATGAAATTTCAGAATATCGTTGTTGATAGTTCATTTATAGTTTGACAAGTGTACTTGTGGTCTTCTGAATTGAAGCTCTCATTCTTTATTTCTCCACTCCCCGCTCAGCACACCTCTTTCCTTACCATGCTTATTCGTGATACAGGCATACAGTGAAGCCATGAATCCGCGCGGTTCATTCCTGTCCTTCTCTGTGGCTTTGATGAATGAAAACGCATTTGATCACAAATGAAATATCAGCTATCTGGGCTTCACGCTTCATGGTCACTTCATCTGTACTCAGACAACGGAACTCCGCAAACGCGTAGAATAAACTATCTGAGCTACTTATACTGATTCTCGGTGTATCTCAGTATCGGGCATCAAGGACGGGATTGGTTGATAGACATTCGGATAACTTCAGCTTGCCACTTGGTGTAAATGTAGCCGGGCAGTTCACATAGTGATACAATAAGAGATGGGTTTGGCTACATAAATAAACCTCATCTTAAACGTACTTTGAAACGTTCATAACTTGAATAAATACCACACCGTATCCTCTACCTAATATCTCCTCCCTGCGGAATACTCGGCAAACATTTCCCTACACGGTACTGCTAGTTGGTACATGTACACGCTCCTCGAATATGATCGTAGCCATGCTAGTTTCTGCGTCGGAGTTGGCTACGAGTTTTGCGTGAAATTCTCGAACGCTAAGGATGAGGCGTGGTCCCAGCACAAACATCTGCACGCCCAAGAAAACGTCAAAAGCACCATCAAGTATCTGAGCTCCCTTCGAATATGCATCCTACAGAAATGGTGAGCAGTGATTGCAAGTAGATGTCAGTGACAAATTGGCGCACCAAGAGCCCTAGAGACAGATAAGCAAGCTGGAGGCAAGAGACACCAACAAAGCTAATACGCGCGGAAGTTGAGCAGAAAAGATAACCACGTTCACATTACGAGCTCACCTTGCAAAATAAAGCACGTGAGATTTTATCAATACTCTGAAACAGTCCCCAATGGTCGATGATCCAAGTCGTCGCAAGTCACGGAAGTGTTTCACAGCAATCCAGACTGCAAGACACAGTGCGAGGACCTCCCAAACTGTGTTGAGCATCCAAACCATCGAGGCCAGAAGCTGGGCATCCCCCTCAGATCCAAAATCGCACATATGCATACCAGAGAGTATCAGCTCCCCTGGTGTTTGTCTAATGAGCCGTGTTCTTCGCGTCAACAAGTAAAACTCACCCCCTACGAGATGCTCCAGTCCTATTACCGTGATTACTCCGCAGGTAATGTTAACAGCCAGGAAAATAATAACAAGGAAGATAAGCATTTTTCTAGATCGCTGATACATGACATGTAACCGAGCAATCATGATGACTTGCATCGTGATCCAGCCAAGTCAATATCATAGAGGTATTGCAGCTGGGTAACTCACCACCCAACAAGGCAGCTATGACCACATTGATCCCATTCATTGTGTAGGCCATAATATTGCCTGAAACGCCTAATTAGTGGTCGCCCTCATACCAGGCTCAAACGCTCCGACTCACACCTATTGGGTCGTTATGTTGAGCTAAGTTCAATGGTCGGAATCTCACTCACCCCTACAAAATGAGTGTACCCATTGAATAGGAATTTGATGGTTGCGGAATACTCACTGCATCTGTCAGCGAGACCATTGGCATATATGCTGTGCGCCGTCGGTCAGAAGAAAAACACAACACACATAAGACATACGCAGAATGCTGATGCTGATCATGAGAGATGAGCTATTAGCATATCGCCAATACGTTGCTCTCTGAAACATACACAGAATATGGTGGCCCAACATAGCGTATCTAGAACATTTTGAGTCAGCACAACTATAGCATAACATGGGGTACGAACAACGAA